CCCACAGTCCAAAGAAGTTTGGGTTAGATGGATTGGCCATGTTAAATTGCCCATAGTGTCCCAGTGATGTGCAGGCTGGTGAATTAGCCTTGGGAAATGCAAAGTCACAACGATGGGGTGGATCTGGGTGGGATGCTTTTCAGAGGGTCGATGTGGTCTTGATGGGCTGAATGGCCTGCTTCCATACTGTAGGGTTTCTATAATGTCCAGCCTTCATTAAGGAAGTCTATATTTGCTACACTGTAGGTCACTTCCAGGTAATGTGTACAGGTAAGAGGTGGTTTCAGAACAGTGTAAGCATTGATGGCCACACAAATAAGAGGATCTACACATTAGAACACCAACACCATTAGAAAAGATACTTGCATTGTCAAGATATTACCATTGGAAAAGATGCAGGAGGCATTCCTAGGGGAATTAAATTATTCCAGCCATGCCAGAAAAGACAGAACATGTGTATGTCAATGGATAACGTCTTAATTTTTTTGCTTGATACAAGAACAACTTCAATTCTGTCCAAAGATGTGCAAGTGAGGTAGTTTGGGCATGCTAACTTGTTCTGTAGTATCCAGGGATGTGTAGGTTAGGTTGGTTAGCCATGGCAAATGCAGAGTTACAGGGATAGGGTAGAGGGATGGGTTTGGGTGTAATGCTCCTCAGAGGGTCTGTGTGGACTCATTGGGCTGAATGGCCTGTTTCCACACTGTGGGGATTTTATGGATTCTATCGGATTCCACAGAACTGTAACTTATGTTACCATGACTCAAGAAACAGAAGTCACATCCTACAGTAATAAGATTATGCGGTGAAGGTGGAGTGATCGTCAGAAGCATAGGAATGTCACAAGTTAAACTACAATGAAATTCATATAAGAACTTTGTGAACTATGTGCACATTTTCAATCAACTAACCATCACTTTGAGCCACTGCACATGACTGATCGTCAATTTCATCAGGAGAATTGGACAGAGAAACTGACCAGAAGCAGTCAGCTATCCAGACACTGATCCAGAATAAACCAATCAACGGGCAACCAGTGGAAGTCTGCATCAGGCTTCCCAAAACTAGACCAAAGAATGAAGTCAGGTAATTTCTGTGAGCTACTTAATGTCGTCAATATAGAAAAACTCAAAAACTTCACAGGATTGATGGAAATGTTCCAACCCTCTGCCTTCTAAAATAGAACAGGCAAACAGAGACAGTGCTGAGTCAACAGCAATTTTTCAATAACACAGCTGAGAGTTTGAAAACACTTTACTTCATCAGTCAAGCAAAACAATCCGTAAATCAAGATGTTCAGCCTGATCAACTACTCAAGGAAGACAAACTGTGTATGACTCCGTGTAGGCCAGATTCAGGAAACAGTCAAGAAGAAGAAGAAAAAGCCTGCTGTAAGTAATCAGCATACTGAAAAAAATAGACTACCTCTTTCAATTAGAAAGCAATTACCTTATCCAGAAATCCAGGATACTACAAGGAAAAAAATAGTACATGTTTCCATGACGAACATTCATGAGATTAAGAGTTCACCAGATGATGATATGGGACAATTGTTTAAATTAGTAGGGAGTTCTTCTGAGAAGGAAATTCAGGAGATTAAGAGTCCTTCAGATAAGATAATGGACCATCCTTAAGATAGAACACATTGCAGCCATGAAGCAATGATGACAGATGGAATTGCTACTGAATTTATTGGGTCGAGTGTCGATCAAGCAGGCTACTTTGTCTCAGAGCTTGTCATGTTTCATGAGTGTTGTTACATCCATCCAGGCAAGTGAAAAGCATTCTGTTCCACTCCTGACTTGTAGGTGGTAGAGAAAGTTTGGGGAGCTAATATAAGTTAAGTATTTGCCGCAGATATTCCAGCCTCAGACTTTCTCCAGTGACTATAGTATTTATGTAGTTGGTTTTGTTGAGTTTTGGGTCAGTGGTGACTCCCAGGACGTTTGTGGTGGAAGATTCATTGATGATAACACTAATGAATATCTTCTGCTGAAAGTGGAATTGGCTGGATCTTGCATGTCCACTTACCAAGCCTGGCTGCTGTTCAACACTTGGTATATGACAGTATGGAGTCAGGCTGCTTCATTAGCCGAAGAATTTCCAATAGAAAGGAAGGACTGTGCAATCATCAGTAAACAGCCTCACATCTGACATTTTAGTGTTGGGAAACTCACTGATGAAGCAATTGAAGATAGCAAGGCCTAGAATTTTACACCAGAAAAACTCTACAGTGACATCCTGCTGAGATAAATAGTCTACAATTACCACAAACTTCTTCCTTTGAACCAGGTATAACTCCAAGCAGTGCAACCAGTTTCCATTGACTTGGGTTTTAATGGGGTTCTTGGAGCTGTATTGGTTTAAATGTTGTCTTTTGTCAAAGGTAATTTCTCTTGCTTTATCTCTGAAATTTAGTGTTTGCTTCCATGTTTAGTCCAAGATTTTGATGTTTTGGAGAGCTCATCAAAGGGAGCATAAAGAACAAATTATTTTTGAGGAGGAGAAGGTTTGTGCCCATGAAGCTGGTGGAAGTGGAGGCAATCACTGATCGTAAAAGAAAATTGGGTGGGCACTTCAGGAAAATAAATTTGCAGGGCTGTGGGTATAGAGTGAAGAGGTGGGACGGAAACAAAAACAGAAATTGCTGGAGGGACTCAGCAGATCTGATGGTATCCGTGGAGAGAAGGCAGAGTTAACATTTCAAGTGCTGTAACTCTTCTTCAGAAGGGATAGTACTGATTGGATTGTTGTAGAGAGAGCTGTGTGGACATGATGGATTGAATGGCCTCCTTGTCATTACATATTCCAAGGGGCCCTTGGCAGAACTATTGACACTGACTGAGAGCAGGCTGCTGGAGTGGCAGTTATTAGGTTGGATTTGTCCTGCTTTTCATGAATAGTGAATCCCTGGATCATTTTGTATTTTGTTGGGTGTGCGTCAATATTACAGATGTAGTGGAAAAGTTCAGGCTTTAGTCCATGATAACACATGATCAAATCAAGAAAGAACGGATTTTATTTGATATGGTCTACATTACAAATTCTGTTCAATGTAATATCACAAGACATCAGACATTTCCATAATTTCAATTAAACAATTAGGTCCAATACTGATCAATCATCCTAAAATTACTTCTTTCAATGTTTATACAAATTATATTTTTTAAACCAATGATTAAGATCTGCAATTTTATCTTTCTCATTTTTATGTTAATTAAAACACAGTTATTTATACCTTTGCACTCCAGCAAGTAATCTCCTGTGATTATGGGAAGGATAACTTGCTTTGGTGCTCCCAGCTGGGGCAGGCGTATCATGACGCTTTGTCACAAAAGCAATCCAGTAAGAACATTACAGACCAGAGAAGTATTCCATTTAAATGGCACAGAAAGGACACACTAAATACCAATCCTTCCATCAGTAATGCTCCTTCCTCTGTTCTCTGTCAATTATTCAATAGCAACCACATTCAGAGGAGACATATACAAACGGAACAGTACCAGACTGAGACAACAAGGTGCAGGGCTGGATGAACACAGCAGGCCAAGCAGCATCATAGGAGCAGAGAGGCTGACGTTTCGGGCCTAGACCCTTCATCAGAAAAGGGGGAGGGGAAGGGGGTTTTGAAATAAATAGGGAGAGAGTGGGAGGCGGATAGAAGAGGGATAGAGGAGAGGATAGGTGGAGAGGAAACAAACAGGTCGAAGAGGCGGGGATGAAGCCAGTAAGGGTGAGTGTAGGTAGGGAGTTAGGAAGGGGATAGGTCAGTCCAGGGAGGATGGACAGGTCAAGGGGGCAGGATGAGGTTGGTCGGTAGGAGATGGAGGTGCGGCTTGAGGTGGGAGGAGGGGATAGGTGGGAGGAAGAACAGGTTAGGGAGGCAGGGACGAGCTGGACTGGTGTTGGGATGCGGTAGGGGGAGGGGAGATTTTGAAGCTTGTGAAATCCACATTGATACCATTGGGCTGCAGGGTTCCCAAGCGGAATATGAGTTGCTGCTCCTGCAACCTTCAGGTGGCATCATTGTGGCACTGCAGGAGGCCCAGGATGGACATGTCGTCTGAGGAATGGGAGGGGGAGTTGAAATGGTTCGCGACTGGGAGGTGCAGTTGTTTATTGCGAACCGAGCGTAGGTGTTCTGCAAAGCGGTCCCCGAGTCACCGCTTGGTTTCCCCGATGTAGAGGAAGCCACACCGGGTACAGCGGATGCAGTATACCACATTGGCAGATGTGCAGGTGAACATCTGCTTGATGTGGGAAGTCTTCTTGGGGCCTGGGATGGGGGTGAGGGAGGAGGTATGGGGGCAGGTGTAGCACTTCCTGCGGTTGCAGGGAAAAGTGCTGGGTGTGGTGGAGCTGGAGGGGAGTGTGGAGCGGACAAGGGAGTCACGGAGAGAGTTGTCCCTCCGGAAAGCAGATAAGGGTGGGGAGGGAAAGATGTCTTTGGTGGTGGGGTCGGATTGCAGATGGCGGAAGTGTCGGAGGATGATACGTTGGATCAGGAGGTTGGTGGGGTGGTACGTGAGGACGAGGGGGATTCTTTTTTGGTTCTTATTGCGTGGACGGGGTGTGAGGGATGAGGTGCGGGAGATGTGGGAGACACGGTTGAGGGCGTTCTCGACCACCGAGGAGGGGAAGTTACGGTCCTTGAAAAACGAGGACAACTGAGATGTACGGGAGTGGAATGCCTCATCCTGGGAGCAGATGCGGCGGAGGCGAAGGAATTGGGAATAGGGGATAGCATTTTTGCAGGAAGGTGGGTGGGAGGAGGAGTATTCTAGGTAGCTGTGGGAGTCGTTGGGCTTGAAATGAATATCGGTTTCTCGGTGGTTGCCCGATATGGAGACAGAGAGGTCCAGGAAGGGGAGAGAGGTGTTAGAGATGGTCCAGGTAAACTTAAGGTTGGGGTGGAAGGTGTTAGTGAAGTGTATGAACTGTTCGAGCTCCTCGTGGGAGCACGAGGCGGCGCCGATACAGTCATCAATGTAACGGAGGAAGAGGTGGAGTTTAGGGCCGGTGTAGGTACGGAAGAGGGATTGTTCCACGTAACCTACAAAGAGGCAGGCGTAGCTTGGGACACATGCGGGTGGACTGAGGTAGGCTGTCAGCAGGAAGTGCTGCATAGTTACAATGCTGCTGTGTTACATTGTCATCACTTCCCCTTACACATCTACATTCTTTCTGTTATTTACCTAGCTTTTCTCACATCATGACTAAATTGAATTCACCAATAGATTGGCAGAACACATGGTTAAAGTTGTTAAATGTTCTCCTCCCTTAGTAAACACTACAGAGTAGGAATTCCAATCAAATGGGCTATGCTTTTGCTGTAAGCATATGCAACAAATGACATTTGACACTAATGACATCTTAAAAGGTAATAATGGTTAGCAGTGTATGAAAGTAGCACTACTTCACGGAATCTTACAAGTGTGAAATAGAAAGAAAAATAATATAGCTCATCCAACCTGCCCAGCTCCCCAGCCATTACCTTCTGGTCATCTTCTGCTTCAATCTATCCATTCAATGATCCAATGGTTCCTGCCTCAACCACTTTCAAAACCTGGAATAAACGAATCCTGATATACTTCAGTATAATAAATAAATCTGAACCAAACCATTCTAATCCTCATTCCTGAGATCCACATAACATATAGACAAGATGCAGTGTAGAAAACGACTAAAACCAGAGTTCACTGCTTTTTTTACCCACTGACAGCTGATCAGCTAAGGACCTGCTATGTACGATCCCAGCTGTAATGCTACATTGTCACATCTCTGACTTATTCTACCTGCTCAGAATCTTGCCACCTCTGACAGGCTGCAGCTGTTTGAAAGGTTCACTCGGAGTTGGTGAATTCCTGTATTAAAACTGCCACACAGCAAATTCGCAGCATCACTGGAAGCTAATGACGTCAGGGGTCCTGCACCATCCAGGTAAAGGGAACTCACACAAACTATAACACGAAGAGAAAAATACAGGTTGGTTAATGAGACTGTCTGTCTTCGACACCTCCCATCAGAATACCCAATATAAATAGTTTACTTTTCACCACAGGAATCTTAAAAAGCTGATTTTTGGCTGGCTTGAACTCTTTATAATTCTATTCAGTTACTAATCTCTCCTTTTCTATTAGAAAGAACTGCTGAAAGAAATAAAGGAGCTGAACCATCCCACTGACTGAGCAGGCTGTGAAGAGTCTGCTGGAGATTACTCTCTCAATCAGCAGTAAAATAGCATTGAGGTCAAAAAATAGAAATGTTTGAGCAAGAACAGAAGGTACCAGTTAGCTGGGTCATTCCACACTGCAAAGAGTAAAACATAGCCTGCCGTGTCTGCTCCACACTATTTGGACTGCATGTTTGTCCAAGTCCCACTTGAAACTAGCTTTAGGACATGCCAAAGTGCAAATGCATAAAAAGTATTCCAGAAAATTGGAACACATGTTAAAAAAACATTGCACCCTCAAGCTAAGATAGTAGGTGTGCAATGAGAAAATGTTGTTAAATGATTACACTCAAAGGGTTTTCATTGCTGTTTAAAGGAAGCAGCCTGGCGTCAGCACTCTAAGCATCAAGTCTTTATGCCAGCTGAGTAGTTCATTTTGTATTATTATAATTTAAACAGCGCCCTATGTTGGTTCCTTTATGTAGATGCTGTCAATTTACTAAACACACTTGAGAAAAACTCTTAGAGGATTTCCAACTTCCCTCGTTTGGAACAAAACATTTTATCATGGTTTCAGACAGAGTGAAAAATTCTTTATACACTTCTTTATGCTTTTTTAAAACTAATTGTGCACCAAAACACTAGACAAAGCTTTAAAGAATATAAGGCCAGTATACAGCCAATAGTGGAGAATTATCCTGACTAGTGAGATTGATTCACAATGCTAGCCCTATGTTCCATCTGAGTTATACGTTAGTATAACTACTCATCACTCCAACTCTGTCTAGAGAATATTGCTAGACAGAAAGAACTTGGAAATACACTGTAATTTTCACAATGTCAATATCTAAAAGCACTTACAGATTCATAGAGTAATACAACACAGAAATAGACCCTTTGGTCCAACTTGCCCAAGTTTCCCAAACTAAACTAGTCCCAATTGCTGCCATCTGGCCCACATTCCTCTAAACCTTTCCTATTCATGTATCTGTCCAAATCTCTTTTAAATATTGTAACTGTACCTGCATCTACCACTTCCTCTGGCAGTTCATTCCACATACGAACCACTCTTTGTGTATGAAAAAGTAGTCCTTTAGGTCCCTTTTGAATCTTTCTCCTCTCACCTTAAAAAATACATCTTCTAGTTTTGAACTCTCCTATCCTATGGAAAAAGCCTTTACTATTAACCTTATCTGTGCTAATAAAGTACTTCTGAGGTGCATTCACTGTTCTGAGTATGAAGCACAGCAGACAATTCACTCATGGCAAAACAGCAGTGCTATAAATGACCAGATCAGCTGCTTCAGTAATGTTAGTAGAATGTAAGATGTCAGCTAGACAATAGCTCTTGGAATAGTGCCATGGGAACCTTGACATCCATTTGAGAGGGCAGATGGGGACCTCAGTTTAACATTTCATCTGAAAGGTAGCACTTCAGACAGTGTAACACTCCCTCAGTAAGGATAGGAATGTCAAAATTACGGAACTTTATATATAGGATAGACTCAACTGTAATTCAAAGGGTTTAAAATAATATATCATTAACAGGGAGTGTGGCCTCAGAATACAATTCCATCAATGCCATGAAGTCAGATATTGGGCCTAAAAGACCATGGCAGAAGTGTCACCTTTTCTACTCTGCGAGGGGTAACAGGCATTCATTCATGGTTTGTACACAGTGGAAGGTCTGAGACTGGGAATTAATTCTGTAAGGACCCTGGAAATAAACCATATTCTCCCTTAATGTAAAAATGTGAGGTCACCAGCAGCTATCTAAGCTTATGTTGGATTTTGACATAAATTATTTCAGAGATATTAGTAGAAGAGCTGCAGAGCCTGATCAGTAGCACCAGCATCTGACAGAAGCTGAATAAACTGTTCTTCTATGTGAATGTGATGCTAGATAGATTTACACTTTGAGGACAGGCTTTGAACTTGCCCAAAGTATTTGCTTATATGAGACAACAAGGTGCAAAGCTGGATGAACACAGCAGGCCAAGCAGCATCATAGGAGCAGAATAGGAGCTTATATGGAATTGTTAGTCCCAATTAATTTCCTAGGCCTGGACAAATGGCAATCCTAGCCATAGTTGAAATCTGTTTGCTTTGAGCAGTGAAACCCATCTGTATAAAATGGAATCCTCATATCAATCTCACCACAAAACAATGCATACTGGAACATGTATCAAACAGCTTAGGTGAATCAGTTTTTGGTTTTTGGAATATACATACAATTTCGTCTGCTTGAAATCCTACAGTGGCCTAATCATTGGATATTATTTCTCTATGTTTTCAATGATAGTTACATGTTATGAGATGGATTTTAGGTTGTTTCAGTCACCAAAGTAAATTGAATTACATAGATTTTACTGCACAGAATCAGGCTATATGGCCACCTCCTACTACTCTCATCTCAACATATCTGCATAACCTACTACTCCTTTCTCAGTCATAGAGTCACACAGCACAGAAACAGACACTTCGGTGCAACTTGACCATGCCCACCACAATCCCAAACTAAAGTAGTCCCACCTGCCTGTGCTTGGCCCATCTCCCTCCAAACATTTCTTATTCATGTACTTATCCAAATGCCTTTTAAACGTTGTAACTGTGCCCGCATCCACCAATTCCTCTGGTAGTTCATTCCAAACACGAACCCTCTCCGTGTAAACAAATTGCACCTCATGTCTTCTTTTAAATCTTTCTCCTCTCACCTTAAAAACTTGCCCCTTAGTCTTGAAATCCCTCACTAGGGAAAAGACACTTGTCATTCATCTTATCTATACTCCTCATGATTTTATAAACTTCTATAAGGTCACCCCTTAAATCATGTGCATCTCCAGCCTCCCCTTGAATGCATGTATGCTGTTTTCCTCAATCACACCTTATGTCAATGAATCTAACATTCTAACTGTGATTGGACAAAGGCACTTTTTGCCAAACCTTTTTGTCTTGCACTAATCAGAACAATTTACAAGAGATGCCAAAGTAATCAGAAATATTTGTAGCACACGACCAACGCTAGATATGATTCTGCAATTGGGCAATCTTTGCTATATGATTTGGAATGAGTGAAGAATTAAGACAACAACCAATTTAAGATTGTCAGTCAAGGGCACAGTATGATGCACTTGGACGTAACTGGTAGCTAAATAACACCTGATACACATAACTCAGTTCTTTGCAGACAGAAAGGTATTGAACACAAATGGAGCCTGTTTCAACTCAACAAAGCAGTGGAATCATCTTTATGTTTACTCCAACAAATACGCTCATAAATTTTAGAAAACCTACATTAGATCACCCCTCAGCCTTCTATTTTCTGGTGAAAACAGCTCAAGCCTGCTTAATCGTTCCTGAGAAAGACTGTATGTTGCAGTACAACCTAGACACATGCCACCAACTGAAGTTAGTTTCAAAATACTACGATGTGTTGTCCAGTATAAGGACAGTACCTGCAGTGTCACGATTCCAGATCTTCACAGTGCAGTCATGACCTGAGGTTGCAACCAAGGGGAATGAGGAAGTTGCATTTGGCAGAAATATACAGGCTGCTGTGGTCTGTAGGTGTCCCTTGTACTCACACACCTTATGTTTTGTCTGTCTCAGGTCCCATAGCTGGAAGAAGAGATGAAAACCATCTTGTTAAGAACCTCATTAGGACTCTACCAGTTCCTTAGCAGATAATATTTGTAGATGGCTATCAAGTAAAACTTGCATTAAAATTGACCAAATAGAAACTGAAAGAACTGTGGATGCTGTAAATCAGGAACAGAAACAAAGTCCAAGACAACAAGGTGCAGGGCTGGATGAACACAGCAGGCCAAGCAGCATCATAGGAGCAGAGAGGCTGACGTTTCGGGCCTAGACCCTGCATCAGAAAAGGGGGAGGGGAAGGGGGTTCTGAAATAAATAGGGAGAGAGTGGAAGGCGGATAGAAGATGGATAGAGGGGAAGGTGTGTGGAGAGGAAACAAACAGGTTGAAGAGGCAGGAAGAGGCGAACCATTTCAACTCCCCCTCCCATTCCTCAGACGACATGTCCATCCTGGGCCTCCTGCAGTGCCACAACGATGCCACCCGAAAGTTGCAGGAACAGCAACTGATATTCCGCTTGGGAACTCTGCAGCCCAATGGTATCAATGTGGATTTCACAAGCTTCAAAATCTCCCCTCCCCCTACCGCATCCCAAAACCAGTCCAGCTCGTCCCCGCCTCCCTAACCTGTTCTTCCTCCCACCTATACCCTCCTCCCACCTCAAGCCGCACCCCCATCTCCTACCTACTAACCTCATCCCGCTCCCTTGACCTGTCCGTCCTCCCTGGACTGACCTATTCCCTCCCTAACTCCCCACCTACACTCACCTTTACTGGCTCCATCCCCGCCTCTTCGACCTGTTTGTTTCCTCTCCACCTATCCTCTCCTCTAACCATCTTCTATCCGCCTCCCACTCTCTCCCTATTTATTTCAGAACCCCCTACCCCTCCCCCTTTTCTGATGAAGGGTCTAGGCCCGAAACGTCAGCCTTTCTGCTCCTATGATGCTGCTTGGCCTGCTGTGTTCATGTTGTCTCGGATTCTTCAGCATCTGCAGTTCCTACTATCTCAGGTAACAAATACGATTATGTGTTTGAACAGGTAGGATGGGAAGGGAACAGTAGGTAAGGAGTACATACCTCAATACCTCGAGCCTAAACAAAACAACTATGGTGGGAGCAGGATTAGCTGAGTGGCACTCTGACACAGGTCTGACAGGCTGAAAGTGCTCTTCTGTGCTGTGACCAGCCAATGATTCTGGGCAGAGTGGCCTCAGAGATGACAGATGTGATTAGAGCATTGTACAATCAATCCAATGCAGGGATAACTTCTATCCTTTGTCCCTAATCAGACTTTAAAACTAGGCTTCAGAGAATAAAGGATAGGCATGCTCCACTTCCACAGTCTGCCGCCATTTCTTCCTGCCTTTCATGAATAATAACTATATCACCAAGCGGTTTATTAATCATTCTTACCTTGGTCACATCACTTTCATGGCCCATGAATTTCTGCTGCACACAACCAGATTTCCAGTCATATATGACCACTGTCTACAGGGCAGTAAAGTGGGTACACCTTAGTAACAGACTGCACACATTACTACTGAATTCAATTAGAGCCCAAACATTTTTACATATATGCACATATGCAAACATAAACACTTTGTTATCATAACAATGACTGCATTGAGAAATGAACAAGGTGGAACTTAAAGTACACACTGAATACTAAGGCACAGGGTACTGCTGTCAGCAGTTTAAAGCCCGTACCAACCTTCTGGATAAAGAAAGCTAGAGCAAGGCATTATACTGTGAATATAGTTAAATACGAAGGTTTAATAAATTTGTGACTGCGCACGCATTTGCGGGTAAAGCACTCCATTAAAATGTCACAAGACCAATATGCATTCATGTAAATTCCTGTTCATACACATGCTCTCCTATTCTACCATTCTAAGGATGGAAATCTCACCTTGTCCTTTCCTCCAGACACGCAGTTATCAGATGTAAGAGAGGCTAACGATGTCACAGCATCATTATGTGCAGGACTGTATTGCTGAACCACTTGAGTGACAGAACAGTGACCTGCATCGCCATCAATCCTTGAAAAAGTACAACACAGTTCAAGCACACTCCATAGCTCAACCTGAGAAAACCAGTGTATGCAACATTGTCTAGAATATACTCTATACTTCCTTGACAGATTACAAGTATATAATTGCAATTAATAATCCTGTCGATTTCAAGCCCAGGTACAAATAGCTGAAGCTGTGGAGGTCTAGGTAATGAATTAATTAATACACTGTCATTTTACCTCTGTGTTGTTTCACCCATGAGTGAAATAAGAATCTGCTGGCTGTAAGGTTATCAAATGAAATAAATAATTTGCACTTTTAAGCACTTTTCAGTCTCTGAAGATGTTCTATTAGGTTTTAGAAGTAATGTAATCACCTATGAAATGTGGTCACTGCTGGTTTGTTAGTAATCGTAGCGGTAAATTTATTGAAAGTAAGATCGCACACATTGCAATGGGGTCAATGTCCAAATAATTTGTTTCAGTAGTATGGATTGAGGGATATATAATGCTAAGACACTGAGAAAACTCTGAGTGGGCAAAAAGTACATAGGTTTAACATCTCATCCACAAGACAACACCATCATCAGTATAGTGATTCTTTTGTACTGCACTGTAGGATGGAAAAACTAGAAAGTTAGAAAATAATGCTTGGATTAGACAGAGGGAAAACTGGAATATCTTGTATTTGAATTTTCAGAAGACTTTCAATATGGTCTCACACAAGAGGTCTGTAAGCAAAATTATACCAGATGGAATTGCAGGTAATATATTGGCATGGATTAAGAAATCGCTAATGGACAGAAAACAGAGTAAGAATGATTACATCATTCTCAGGTTAACAGGCTGTGACTAGCGTGGTATCCCAAGAACCAATATTTGGGGCCTGCCTACTCAATCTATAACAATGACTTGAATATGAGCAACAATTGTATTTCTTTTATTTTTTCATGTTATGTGGGCATCACTGGCTAGGCCAGCATTTATTGCTTATTCCTAATTTTCCTTGACAAAGTGGTGCTGAACTGCCTTCTTCTTTTAACCGCAGTCCTTGTGATGTAGATACACCCACAGTGCTGTCCATAGGAGAAGTCCAGGATTTTGAGTAAAGGGCGGCATGGTGGCTCAGTGGTTAGCCCTACTGCCTCACAGCACCGGGTACCTAGGTTCAATCCCAGTCTTGGGTGACTGTCCATGTGGAGTTTGCACGTTCTCCCAGTGTCTGTGTGTGTTTCTGCTGGGTGCTCTGATTTCCTCCCACAGTTCAAAAGCTGTGCAAGTTAGGTGAATTGCCCATAGTTTCCGGGGAGGTGCAGGCTAAGCGGGTTAGCCATGGTAAATGCAGGGTAATGGGTCTGGGTTTGGGTGAGATGTTTTTCAGAGGGTCAGTGCAGACTTGATGGACCAAATAGCTCCTTTCCATATTGTAGGGATTCTATGATTCTATTCTACAAACGGCAATTTAACTCCAAGTCAAGATGATGCATGGCTTGGAGTGAAACTTGTAGGTGGTGAGGTTCCCATTCTTCTAATGCCCTTCTGGGTAGTAGAGGTTTTGGCTTTAAAAGGTACAGTCTGAGGGCCCTGGATGAGTTGTTACAACCAACACTGTAAACATAGGGCATGGGGTGATGAATTAGCTGGAAAGTGACCCTATCATCCGGGACAATTCAATCATCATGGAGTGACCAATTAGAGAAAAATCATCCCCATAGTTGGAACAAACAGAATCTGAGAGGGGTTGTTATTCCAATTAGAGGCTGGTTCTCTCTTGTGGTTGCTGCTGATAGTTTCACTGCGATCTATCAGCAGGAAATGGTTGAGGGAAACAATGTGTGATTGGAGGAGCAGCTAGAGGCATTGTAGCAAGAATGACCAAGTCTGCCAAGACTGAAGCAGGCAGAGCTGGAGGCTGCAGCAGGCAGGACCAGCAACTGGAACAAGGAGAGCCAGAGAAGGCTGTTAGACACCAAAGATTAAAAACTGATTAGACAAAGTCAAAGCATATATTTTCTAGTCAGAGATTTATTCCAACTCAGACCTCAACACATTGATTATTTGCTCCACAGTTATACACTAGATTCTCACAAAACAGACATATAACCAATACCCATTCCTGACTTTCATTTGGTCTCCGGCATCCCTGCTAGAACCTACTAGATGATTAAAAGATTAACTCTATTGTTATATATATATTAATTTATTTTTTAAAATGGAAACAAACAAAACATAGAAATAAAAGATGAGAACTTATTGTGCAAAATGACAATATATTATCTTTCTGCCTTCTTTAAGTATACATTAGACTTCCAAACATCCTTTCTCCAGTATTTCTAGTAGTTTCTTAGAGCTTGCCCCTTTCTTTGTAAAGTAATCATATACCTGACAGCTACTATCTGGCCATTTCAATTTTGAAATTTCTCCATTCTCCAGCATCTGTTTTAAAACCAAAACACTATAAAGTCATAGAGTCAAACAGCATCGAAACAGACCCTTTGGTCCGATTTGCCCATGCTGACCAACTGTGAATCCAGTCCTTCCATGGCCAATTGTTTTCCCTAACAGAATGGGAGATGATCTAAGATTACAGAAGGATCTTGATCAATTGGACCAATAGGCTGAGGAGTAGCAGATCGAGTTTACTTTGGATAAATGTGACATATTGTATTTTGGTAAAACAAACAAGGGCAGGACTTTTACAGTTAACAGTAGGGCGCTGGGTAGTGTTGCAGAACAGAGAGACCTGTGAGTGCAGGTACATAGTTCTTTGAAAGTTGCGTCACAGGTAGACAGGATGGTTAAGAAGGTTTAGCATACTATTTACTCATACCATTGAGTAGGAGTTGGGATGTCATGTTGAGGTTGTTCGGGATGCTGGTGAGGCCACTCCTGAAATATAGTGTACAGTTTTGGTTGCCCTGCTATAGGAAGGATATTATTAAATTGGAGACCGTTCAGAAAAGATTTACCAGGATGTTCCCAGATGGGAGAGTTTGAGTTATAAGGGTGGAATGGCTGGGGCTATTTTTCCCTGGAGCATAGGAGATTGTGGGGTGAGGGTTTATAAAATGATGAGGGGCACAAAAAAGGTGAATAGCAAAGGTCTTTTCCCTAGGGTGAGCAAGTTCACAACTGGGGGAGTATATTTTTAAGGTGAAAGGAGAAAGGTTTAAAAGGGGCCTGAGGGGCAACATTTTCACACAGACGGTGGTGCGTATGTGGAATGAACTACCAGAGGAAATGGTGCTGGTAAGTTCAATTATAATATTTAAAAGACATTTGGAGAGTCTGAATTCTGAGTTCCTCAGAGTTCTGAGGAAGGGTCACCAGACCCAAAACGTTAACTCTGTTTTTCCCTTCACAGATGCTGCCAGACCTGCTGAGCTTTTCCAGCAACTCTGTTTTTGTTCCTGATTTACAGCATCTGCAGTTCTTTTGGTTTTTATTCAATGAGTGATAGTTGGTCATGTCTCATTTCAATAACATGGACAAACAGGGACACCAATTCGACTGGGATAATGTGACTATCCTAGGATAAGCCAAGCAAAGACACACACGAGAATTCCTGGAGGCCTGGCACTCAAACCGGAACTCCTATAACAAACATGTAGAGCTGGACCCCATATACCAAAAACTAAGAAACAAATCCTGAAGTGATGCTACCCACCTCAGCAAACCGAGACAGAACATTGACGCTTCACCAGAGTGCACTGATGATTCTTTATTCATTCACGGGATGAGGGCGTCACTGGCAGCATTTATTGTCCTTACCTAATTGCCCAGATGGCAGATAACAGTCAACCATATTGCTGTGGGTCTGGCATCATATGTAAGCCAGACCAGGTAAGGATGGCAGTTTCCTTCCCTAAAGGACTTTAGTGAACCAGATGGGTTCTTCCTGACAATTGACAATGGATTCATGGTCATCATTAGATTCTTAATTCCAGATATTTATTGAATTCAAATTCCACCATCTGCCATGGCAGGATTCAAACCCAGGTCCCCAGAACATTATCTTGGTCTCTGGATTAATAGTCCAGTGAGATTACCACTAGGCCATCGCGTCCCCTATATGATGTTACCTAGTATGGTGATGAAATGTCTGCGAACAAACTTACCAGCTCGGCAAGCAAGCCAACAACCACATCAACAACCCAAGCTACAAATCTTCTCAAAAACCTTGAACAATTTTTACCATCATCCTCTGTCGCCTACCATCAAGCCAATTTTGTATTCGATTGGATAGCTCTCCCTGGATCTCATGTGAGCTAACCTTACTAACCTGTCTATCATGCAGAACCTTGTCAAAGTGACTGCTAAAGTCCATGTGGACAACATTTACTCACCTCTTCAAAAAACTCAATCAAGTTAGTGAGACAAGATTTCCCACACATGAAGCCATGTTGACTATCCCTAATCAGTCCTTGCCTTTCCAAATGCATGTAATCCTGTCTCTCAGAAATCCCTCCAACAATTTACCCACCACTAACCTCAAGCTCACGGGTCTCCAGTTCCCTGGCTTTTCCTTGCAGCCTTTCTTAAATAATGGTAACATGTGCCACTCTCCAGTCTCCGGCACATCACCCGTGACGGTTGATAATACAAATATCTATGCTAGGGGCCCCCAATCTCCTTGTTAGTTTCCCACCAAATCCTGGGATACACTTGACCAAGTCCTGGGGACTTATCTACCTTTGTGTGTTTTAAGACCTCCAGCACCTCCTCTTCTCTAACTTGGACTCTTTTCAAGGCATCACTATTTATTTCCCTGAGTTCCCTAGCTTCCATGTCTTTCTCCATTGTAAAGACTGACACGAAATATTCATTTAGGATCTCACCCACCTCCTGTTGTTCCACACATAGATGGCCTTGTTGATCTTTAAGGGGCATTATGTCTCCGTAGTTATTCTCTTGCCTTAATTTACTTCTAGAATCTGTTTGGATTGTCCTAAACTTTATCTGCCAAGCTATCTCACGTCCCCTTTTTGCCCTCCTGATTTCCCTCTTACGTATACCCTTACACCCCTA